TTTGAACTTGTAACTCTAAGTTCAGGACTACCTGTGAGTTCAGTATAAATACATTCCTCCAACCTCTACAACTACGTGGTAACGGAAACACCAAACTGAGAGAACGGTAGGCGATTCAAATCCACTTGATAATGTGTAGATCTTCCCTATTGGAAACAAGTGATATCCATGTACACAAAGTCGTGGTACTTGATATACATTTGAGCAACATCCTTGCTAATACCAAAGCGAAACATCTTGCTTAGGCATGTTATCCTGTGTGATCCCAGAAAGAGCTTCAGTGTAATCAGTGGACTGTAAATTGAATGGATAGTGACGGAAGAAAGAAAGAAAGTGTAACACCGTCTTTTCATATTAATTTTAATAGAATACCATTTTAAAAAGTGGCAATCCGTGCAATTTTTACAACATTTTCCGGAAGAGATAATTTTTCAAGAGCTATATTTGCATAAAATTTTAAACTATGTTCAAAATTTAAACAGTAGGATAAAATCAGCCTCTTCAGCCTTGACCTTAAGGCCCAGTCACTAAGATAGCGGTAAACCTACAATACTTTCCATGCAAATTTTAAGGTCCAAAGATAATCTAATATCTCCAGTAAGCATCATACTTTCACCTCATTCTAGTATCTTTTTCTTTTTATTTATAAAGATTCTCAAACATGTATGATGCTAAACTGAAAAACAAGATATAGTTTTAGGCACACAGGCTTTGCTCAGGATACTGGTCTGGGCACAGCCTTTCCTGGCTTTGGCACATGGCAAGCCGTAAACGTTGTTGGATTTCGCCCGACCCAAACTTTTGTTTTATCCATAGGCCAAGCCCAGGCTTAAAAAACCAAGACTCTACTATGGGAAAAATTCAAAAATAGTTAGATTTACAAGTGGTTATTTAAAAATAGCCACAGTTTTAAAAGTAATTAAAATTTAGTCACTTTTATATAAAAATAAATTTGAACGAAAATACTTTTCAAAATCCGAAAAATACTCCAATATAATATATTGGACTTCCAGTATAATATACCGGTCCAGCATAATATGCTAGAAATTCACACAAAGGTGCTCCAATATCCAGTATATTATGCTGGAACTTTCTGCGTGTTGGAGTTCCAGCATAATATGCTGGAAGTTTATACACATATGCACCGATCTCCAGTATATTATGTTGGGACTTTTCGTATTGCATTAAAATAGTGGCTATTTTTCAATAACTTTGCAAACGCTAGCAATTTTTGAATGACCTATACGAAAACTAGCTATCACTTGCTATTTTTACCTTTACAATCATCGAGTATTGAATTTTTTTTCAAAGAATTTAAGTTTTATGTATTTATGATGTAAAATAATTTACTTAAATAATTCTTATTTTTATTCTCTTGTCTATGATTGTAAGACACCAATGATGGATTTTCAACTTGTGTCTGTTTCTTTAGTTAGAAATTTAGCGAATCAAGTTGCTCAAGCTTTAGCTTGGGTGACTGTTTCTACAATCTTTTATTTCAAAAAATTCCATGGCCGTCCTATTTGGTCGCCCACATTTAATTTATACCTACTTTTAAAAAAAGTTTTAACTTAGTACCCATTTTTTAAACAACTTCAGGCCTCCTCCTCCTCCTCCTCCTCCTTCTTCTTCGGGTGACAATGATTTTATATGATGTTTGTGAGCATATTTCAAGGTAGTTTATAATGTTTTACAGTGGTGAGTTGTTATGACGCTTTATTTTTACTATTACTTAGGGTTTCTTCTTCTTCTTTTTCTTAATTGCAAAATGGGTTCATTAGATTTATTGTTATTTTGACAAACTGATGATTGAGGTGTGTTCCTATTGATATTTGGAGTCTATGTTTCAAATTTGAGCTCATTTGGAGTAGATTTAGGTATTAAATCGTATATTTGATTGTTATAATTCGAAGAATAAATTTATGTTTCTGGACAATTTGCACTTCAGGCCTATTTGGCCTTAAGTGCATGAAAACGTTGGTTGCACTTTAGACCTTTTTGTCTTATGTGCATCTGAAGTGCAACTTTTCACTTCACACTTATTGGTCTTAAGTTGAACAAAAAGTTTGTTGCACTTCACACCTTTTGGCCTTAAGTGCATTTCAAGTGTAAATTTTCACTTCAGACTTATTGGCCTTAAGTATAGCTAAACGTTTGTTGCACTTCAAATCTTTTGGTCTTAAGTACATCTGAAATGCAATTTTTCACTTCAGACTTATTGGCCTTAAGTGTAGCAAAACGTTTGTTACACTTTAGACCTTTTGGCCTTAAGTGCATTTGAAGTGTAATTTTTCACTTTAGACTGATTGGCCTTAAGTGCATGAAACCATTGGTTATACGTCAAACCTATTTGTCATGGCCCAAAATCCAACTAGTCGTGATAGCGCCTAACCCAACCCGCTAGGTAAGACAGTTAACAACTATCCAATTTAATGAGATTGATTAAGAGAAGAAATGATATTACAATTGCTTTTATACAAGAATTTTTGAAGGACTGATAGTACAAATTATGAGCTTCTAAGATTTAGAGTTTACAAAGCTAGTGTAAAATTAATACATCATTTGTCTGAATTATACATAAATAGATTTTCTTTTCATAAGTCTAGAGCTACCATGAACAAGAGGCAGCTATAACTGGAGTGCAGGTACGTCTTCAGTGCTAGCTCTCGTAATACACAGCAACTTCAGCATCCAAATTTGCACACAGTGTGCAAAAGTGTAGTATGAATACAACCAACCTCATGTACTCAATAAGTAACAAACATAACTTTAGGTTGAAAGTAGTGATGAGGTGGGATAAGGGTCAGAGTCCAACTCCAATAACAGTAACAGTTCGTAACAATATAATAAAAATGGTATACGAAATAACTCTGAGATATGATGCTTAGTTCATTCGCAGTTACGGAAAATAGGCATGTTTTCAAGTATAACAGTACATTCTAAGTTTTTTAACTTCAGACCCGATAAATTTGAAGTTGATCGTAAATTAGATATGCTTGCAAATATTTCGCAAAGTGGGTATCAGTTCAATTGTGATCCCAAAACCAGGTAAGATGCAAAAGCCCCCTTTTATTTTTTATGTATTCTCTTTTGTTGGGTAATAATTGAGAAGGCACCTTTGAAAAAATGGTGTAAAATAATTTTTTAAAATATGTTACTTAAAAGATAATGCCATATAAGCACTAATTAATAATTTAGAAATAAGTGGTAACTAGGCTAATATAAGCAGTTAAGTGTAAATACTCATAACATTGCTGGTGTATAAGACTTAAATATGTTTCAAAAATATTTATAAGGGGAATCTTGACGTAACTAATAAAGTTGTTACCATGTAACAAGGAGGTCACAGGTTCAAACCGTGGAAACATCCTCTTGCAGAAATACAGAGTAAGGATGCATACAATAATTACTTGTGGTTCAGCTCTTCTCTGGACCCCGCTCATAGCAGAAGCTTGGTGCGTGGAGCTGCCCTTTTCTATTATACCCACCTTTCTATTTTAAAAAACATAAGTTTATTTTTTCTTTTATCGATAATGACATAATTTTATAATCAAACAAATGTTTAAAATTCCAAGTTAAAAGTATTCTTTCGTTTATTTATTGTTTGAATTTCATATCAGTCAAACAAATTTATATAAAATGAAACATAGAAAATAACACTTTCGTTTTAAAGAACATCAAGTATTTATTTTTAAACTTGTTTGCAATAATTTTTTCACATCGAACTAGTCATAGTGACATCACTCTTAGGTTTTTACTTTACGAGGAACTGTAGCTAGTATGCTTTCTGAAGACGATGTTAAGTTAATTCTTTATGATCTTGATAGCCCAATCATATATCAAAAGAATTAATTAGCGCCCCAGCATCGTTAGGACTTTGGACAAATGATACTCCAAAAGGTAGAAATAAAAGAAATACTTGTAAGTTAACAGTTTTCCTTTTTATTTTTATATTTATAGCTCCAGGTTAAGAAAATGAAGATGCAAAATGCATTGTGAGCTGTACCTTTGAGGGTGAAGCTGGATTTGACTCAATTTCCATTTTATATTCACTTCATTTCCAAAAGTTTCTAGGTAAATTTTTGACACTTGACTTTTTTAAATATCAAAGGTCTAGATTAATTTAACTAAACATGTATACCAACAATGACTAAAAAAAAACTTATCATTTAAATCTACCCAAATTTTGTAAGAAATAAGAAAACATCCTTCCCCTACAATTTAACATTACAACTAGAGTCAAAGCACAAAAGTAACCAAGAGTATCGATCAAGAAGTGCGGTAAATCATAAAAATGAAATTCCTACAATTATAAGAAGTCTTTAGAATTAAATTATAATTAGAAGATTAATTGTAAACTATTTGGATTTGAAAATAAGAAGTATTTAGAAGATTAATACGGAGTAATAAATAACTTTTGTAAATCGCTTTGTCATAGAAAATCAATATACTTGTATGTCGACAATCAGTAGCATCTCACAATTATGGCCAATCTAGTTTTAATCAGTTCCCCCCCCCCCCCCCCCCCTTTTTTTTTTTGCAAATTAAACTTATGTTAATGCTAAGAGACGTTATTTCAGTTGATTCCTAATTTATGAATATTTGCTTATGAAGAATTGAGAGATTTAAATGGAGTACTATATAGTATTATTTAACCAAGTCTAGGACACATGTTTATATAATAATTAAGTCAAGACCTTTGATACTTAAAAGAATAGGTGTCAAATCCCAAAAAACTACTCCTTCACTTTAATTTAGTGATAGGAACCTCATATTAAATGCAGAATCTTAGACCCTTTTTCGACTGATAATAAGATGGTTGGTAACATCGTTGATATAGACAGATAAAATGTTCTTTACATGCAGAAACACACTCATTTGACTGATGTTTTTGATAAGCGAGCTTTTGTTTAAATGTTTGATAAAGCAAAATATAATTGATTGGATGCTTTTGCTGTTAGTACGTGGAAATAAAAGTGACATTTCCATAAAGGGAAGCACTCAGAGAGTCATTAAAACCGAATCTCCATACTTAAATTCCAGAATCACAATTTTGCAGAATTCATTCAAACTATACCAAAACATTAGTCCTAGTTCCATTAATTCCCCTCCATGTCTCAAAGGTTAAAAAAATACTTAAATCCAGAAAAAAGTTCTCTAAATTTCGCTATCTCATTTTCTTCTGCTTTTGTTTCGTTAACCCACATGTTAACTGGTCGTCAAACTCTAAGAACCAAAACTCAAAAGTTGGATGCAAGAAGATAGTGACGTCTGCTAGTTGTGCTTTGTTTAGTGCTGGGCTGGGTATCTGACTGCAGCTGCTAGCAGTCTTTGCTGCTCTATCTGTAGCACGAAACTATGATCAGAACTAATTAATGCTAAAGATTCATTATAAGAACTATGATAGGGACTGAGTAGTAGCAATAAATGCATGGTGTACTTTCATCAACGTATAAAATAGTGTAAAATAGTCTATATTTTACTTAACTACTTACCTGGAAAAGTTCATGGAGTTTGTTCTTGAGATAACAGTATTCATGTTCAAGCAACTCTAAAGCTCTCAAACATCTACCAAACGAAAACTTTGGTCAGTATTAATGACAAAATAAAGGTGGTTAATTAAACATTTGTAAGAATTTTTTTTGTACCCTAGTCTATTGTTCTGCTCGGACGCAACGCGAAAGGCAACGCATACATTTCGGACGCGTTTGGCACCAATGCTTGAGCTGCTTCCTATGAACTGATTCAAATGCACTCCCATTTTCTTGTAGTCCGAGAACTCTCTGTCCATCCTATTTTTTTCGCCATATTAAAAAAAGCTAAATTAAGAAAAGATGAAAAAAGGTAAAGTATATAAATTCAGATGTATGTATAACCCAGACCAAAGAGAGAACATTTAAAAAGACTAGAACTTTTTCCTCCTTTTTTCCCACGCTTACCAAAAAGCATGCCCACAATATAGTAAAATCGCTTTTGTGGGTTTATCTCTATCTATTCTTTTTGTTGTGTATCTAAAACGTAGTAAGAAAGAGTCGCACAAATTAAAGCAAACAAAAAGGAAAGACTAAAACTCACAACAACGATCTGAGATTTCGTAAGAGTTTTTCGGACTCTTGAAAATAAATGTTGACAACTTCAGAGACGAAATTAGGAGAGGATTCATCTTGAAGCTGTTGCAGCTGCAAATATTGCTCGTCCAATACTCCCTATATATTTGCGTACGAATAAAATCACATTTAGTACGTACTAAAAACAAAAACAAATAAGAGATCAGAAAATAATGGCAGAAAAGAAAAAGTAGGAAATAATAAAATACCTGGTGGAAGAGTAAGGCGAGCAAGCGATTGATATCAGCTCGCAATCGCTCCATTCCGAGACCAAGCATCCACAAAGGTAGACCCGTTTTGGCTGCTTTATTTGAAACTTTAGTAGTAGTAAATGAGAGACCAAAGGAATAGAGAAGAAAGGGAGAGTGAGAGATTTTAATTTTGTCTCAGGCTTTTTACTAAATGTAGGGGCGAAAGGGAGTTAGTTTGAAGAAGAGTGTGGTGTCGTTTCCTATTCTGGGGGATTAAAAATGGCAGTCACAGAAATTGCAGTCAGTCAGGTGAGAGTGAAGACTTATATAAAAGGGTAGCCATCTGGCGGTGAATTGACCCCACCTATCCATATTGTACCTCCCCCTATACACCTACGTGGAGTGATTTTATTTTGTGTCTTAAACAAGTGATACTGTCCGTGTGAGACCTCTTTTTATCTCACGTATTGGTGAATTCATAAATTATATATTTGGATCCATAAAATTCTAAGACTCATACGGTTATAAAACAAAAAAAAGACCTCACACAACTAATGTCAGTTGTGCGAGACACAAAATAAAAAATGTCACCAACATGGTACGAGTCATAATGGTGCGTGTCTTCTACTCTTCCTTTGTTTTTTTCCTCCCCTCCCATTTTTTTGTTTTTTTTTTTCTAATTGGCGCAAAATATTTTCTTGCAAATTGAGTTAGCAATTTAGCAGTATACTCCCTCAGTTTCAATTTAAAGGCTGAGTAGATTTTTATGGGGAGCAACAAATTGAAATTTAGGTTTTATATGACTAAGTGTTATTTATGCATTTTATCATTATTTAATCAGTATTATATACAGCGTAGATTTTATATGGTTTTGAAATCATATATTTTCATGCCCCCTAATGTACTATCTCATGATGATTAATAATGTTTGATAACTATTTTCTTCACTTGATCAACGCTCTTATTTCTAACTTAATGATTGAAAATATAACAGCTTTGCAACTAGAGTAATATTTTATACGCAATCCATTTCAATTTAGTGGGTGTTTGGACATAAGAATGGTAAAATTCCGAAAAACAAAGTGAAAAAAATTTAAAACTGAAAATGGTATTTGAAAATTAGAGTTGTGTTTGGATATAAATATAATTTTGGGTTATTTTTGAAGTTTTGTGAGTAATCTGAGTGAAAATTTTGAAAAATAGCATTTTGGATTTTTCAAAATTTCGAAAAAAATCCAAAATTCATATAGTCAAAACTAGAAATTTGGAAATTTTATGGCCAATCACTGATTTCGAAAAAAAAGTGATTTTTTTTTTTGAAAAAAGTAAAAAAAATTCTTATATCCAAACGGGCTCTTAGATGATGGTCATTGACTTGCACAAAATTTTAAATAAAAAAGAATTTTTTTACTACAACTAAAAATATTTAATAATATTCAAAGTAATCTTAGGCCTTATTTGTTTGCACTTAATGGAAGTCTGAATCTTAATCATTCAGATATCAGACATGAATCTTAATCATTCAGATATCAGACATGAATCTTAATCATTCAGATATTAGACATTAAATGCGTTTGTTTCTAAAGTCTGAATCTTAACCTTTTAGATTTTAATCATTAAGTGTGCTTGTTTTTTTTACGTCAAAACAACTTAGTGGTAGGGGTGTACATGAACCAGATTGGTTCGATTTTTATTAAAATCAAACCAAACCAACTATATCGATTTGGATTGGTTCGGTTTTGTTAGTTTTTTCGAATTTTTATGTTACTTAAATATTTTTTTAATCTTACTTTGTTAATTTTTTTACAAGTAAATATATGTTTAATAAAAATTTTAAAAATTACAAACACATTATCTATTAAAATATTCATATGGGAGAATTTTTTTAGCAACATATGATAATTATTTTTTAACCGTCAGATAATAATTTTTGTTGATGTACACTTTCAAGGTTAACTGAATTTAGTAATTAAACATAAAAATCAATATGATAACTAAATAATAATAACCACTTCAAATTCGAAAAAGATATAAAAATTTAATAGATCCTGACATATGAATATGGAAGAACAAGGAGATTGACGCATTTCCGTAACACTTAATAAGAAAGTGATCATACAACCGATTACTTAAGGTTAATAATCATGGAGACCTTTATATTCTATTAAATATTACATCACATAAGAGAATCTCAAATATTTCTAGATATTTTTTAAAGAAAAATCTATATAAAATCTTAAAAGTATATATAAATATTATATATTTATATGTCGATTTGGTTCAGAATTTTTTTGCTCAGTACTAAACCGAATCAAACCAAACTTAGTCGGGTTTTTTAATCGGTTCGGATTGACTTTTCGGTTTGGTACGCTTTGTACACCTGTACTTAATGGGTCTGAATGATTAAAATCTGTAACAGAGACTTAATTTCATTAAGATGATATCATCTATATTCTTTATTAACTACCATCACTATCTACCATTAATTATCAACTACTACTACCACCACCCACCACCATAGCTACCGCCACTACTACCCCATCCCCCCTTCACTATCATCCTCAACCATAACAACACACTCGCCCACCTCCACTACTACAACCAACCACCCCATCATCATCAATAACCATAATTGGCATTGTCGACCATTATAAACTACTGCCACCGGGCCACCATCACCTTCCACAATCACACCCACAACCACCACCCACCATTATTAAATATCACCATCCTCTATTAAAGTCGTTACGCTACCAATCACCACTAGCTACTACCTAGAACTACCATCGTTAAATTAATTAGTAATTTATTTAAATTTTATGCTTATTAATTTTTGAATAAAGATAAATTGTATACATTTAGATGTTAAAATATAAACAATTTTAATGATTTAGTATTCAAATCTTAATATACATCTAATCTTCAGATGTGTATTCAAATTCAAATATCTTATTTTTGATGCACATCTTCATATTCAGATTCAGACGTATTAATCTTAAAAATTAAAAACAAAAAAAAAATGAGCCCTTGACCATCTCCAACCCAACACCAATGTTGACACACCATTTTAGTGTAAGATTTAGTTTTTTTTTTTGCTCCAACCCAACACCATTTTGGTGTATGAATAGTGTTACACCAAATTTGGTGTAACACTATTCATCAACACCATTACTATTCATCATTATTTTAATATTATTTTTTATTATATAACACTTTTAATTTAACATATTATAAATTTATAATTAATTATAATTTTTATATAATATTAATTTTATATTTTAATTTTGGTGTATAATTTTCATAAACTAATTTTTGTATATTTTATTTTTATATAAAATTGTAATTTAATTTTATTATGTTATAATTGTATAAAAATGTATAACCATAAAAAAATGAAAGTACAAAACTGAAATATAATATGTTGTTAATAAATAACACAATGTTCATTAGTTATCATAAAAAAATATTTAATATAATAGCGGCTAACATAGATTAAATTGAAAACACATTAAATAATATAATGGGATGAGAAAAATTACAACAATAATCTAATAATTTAGAATGTCAGTTCTAGATCCATCAATATCATTAAAATATTGAGTGTATGCTCATTTTGCACTTCGTAATACATTAGTAGACCATTTATGGGAGCAACATACTAATCTTGTAAGTTAAATTTTTATGTAAAAATAATACTAAATTTTACGATAATATAATATTTATTTAATTATATCTCATCAATGATTTCATTTTTATTTGGGTTATATATTAATATGTATAATATATAATATTTAAAAATTAAAGGTATAAAATAATTTTATATTAATTGGTTATATAAGAAAGAAATATGAATTATATGGGATAAATATGTAAAAACGAAAAAAGAAAGGATTTGTTTTATAAAGAAAATAAAAAAATATTCTTTTTCGATGTAAAAAATAATGTAATGGGTTGGAGTTACTTTGCATCATTTTGGTGTTTATACTATTTTGGTGTAAAAAATGATGCAAGGGTTAGAGATGCCAATGCCCTTAGTATCTTATACTCTCTCGTTCCATATTAGAAAGAAATCATTCTAATTTAGAACGGACGTAATAATGTTTTCTAAAATATCATTTAAGTCAGACTACCGCGAATTTGAAAGTGTCATATTAACGGACTTACTGCGAATCATCACCTTCTCACCAGGGGAGGATATACCGTTGAACCAACGAGTTCAATTGAACTCATAATTTTTGATGCGGAGTAAAAATTTATATGTAAAAATTTATTAAAATTGTAAAAACAGTAAATATGAATCCATTACTTTAAAAATATAATAGGTTCAATTCTAAAAACCTTGAATATTGAACCCATAGTATTTAAATATTGGATCCGCCTTTGCTTCTCACGATGTGCCCTAAATCCACCTACAATAAAATTTTAGGTTTTATTTCGAATCCTCTGTTTTTTCATTGAACTTTAATCGGACAAAATCAATACTATGTGTAAGTCACATTGTAAGGAGTAATTTACCGCAGATATTCTGGTTCGACTTAAATTTTATACTAGTATTTCAACTAAGTACTCCTTTTTAAAGTAATGTTAATCTCTTTAATCTTAAATAAATCGAGAAATATTCTGCTTTTGTTGTCATGCATCGCCTTTTCGCTTGTTACTAGTGTATGGGTCAAAATCAAATCAGAGAAATTCGACATGCGGAAATAATTGTCATGAGGAACATGTGAATCAAATTGAGCTGTCTGGCCGAGGTTGAGCAGTGATAATAAGGCCGAGGTCGAGTATTGATCAATAAAGCCGAGGTCAAACATTGATCAATAAGGCTGAGGTCGAGCAGTGATCATCGACAAGGCTGAGGTCGAGCAGTATAGATAGATATTCCCTCTAATTATACTTTTTTAGGGTTTTCTAGGGATATCCCCTATAAATAGGAAGGGAGGACTTCTCTAAATACTTCTCTCAATAGATGATTATACATGCGCGCATGTTTGATGTTAGGGCTCGAGTAACCTATATGGGCACGGTCCATCTGGTCGTTTGACCCTTACAACACTTTCATATTGAAGCCCCGGTGTCATGAAGTAATTTCCTTGCAACAAAGTAGACATTCAAGGGTAATACCCCCAGCACTCGAGACTTATTATAGGGAACCTTGGATACTGTTGAATTGCTCTAAGTTAGCACGAACAATGGTTGTCTCGTTAAAAACCTTGCCAAAAAAACCCATTTGGGACAAAAAACGGTCTAAGAAAAAAAGAGTGCAACGCGTGATTTAAGA